AGAGAGAGAGAGAAAACCAAAGTGAGATCTAAAGAGAGAGAGAGAGAGAGAGAGAGAGAGAACAAGAGTGGATTTCAAAAGAGAGAGGGAGAGAGACAGATAGAGACAGAGAGGGAGAGAGAACCAGAGTGAGATCTAAAGAGAGAGAGAGAGACAGAGAGAGAGAGAGAGAGAGAGATAAGAGAGAGACAGAGAGATAAGAGAGAGAGACAGAGAGAGAGATAAGAGAGAGAGAGAGGAGAGAAGAAAGTGAGATTTCAAAAGAGAGAGGAGATAGAGACACAGAGAGAGGGTGAGAGAGAGAACCAGTGAGATCCCAAAATAGATAGATAGAGAGATAGATGATAGAGACAGAGAGAGGGAGAGAGAGAGAGAGAGAAAGAAGGAACTGTGAGATCTAAGAAGATAGATAGAGAGAGAGAGTAGATAGATAGAGAGAGAAGAGAGAGAGAGAAAGAAAGAGAGAACCAAAGTAAGATCTTAGGGGAGAAAGAGAGAACTAAAGTGAGAGAGTCCGATAGAGTGCTCGAGAGAGAGAGAGAGAGATAGCGAGACACCTGATTAGTGGAGAAAGTATGAGAGAGGAAGAAAACGAGTGAGAAATCTTGAGAGAGATATCTTGAGAGAGAGAGAGAGGCAGAAAGAGAAAAAAGAGGCAAAAGTGTGCAAGAGAGAGGGAGGGAGAAAAAACCAGATGAGATACCAAGAGAGAGGGAGAGGGGAGAGGGGAGAGGAAACAGAGAGAAAAGACAGAGGAGAGAGAGATAAAGACAGAGATAGAGAGAGAAGATAGAGATAAGAGAGAACCAGAGATAGATTTAGATAGATAGAAGAGATAGATAGATAGAGAGAGAGATAGAGAGAGAGAGAGAGAGAGAACCAAAAAGAGATCCTAAGAGAGACAGAGAGAAAAAAAACAGAGTGACATCCCAAGATAGAGACAGGCAGAGATAGATAGATAGATAGATAGATAGATAGAGAGAGAGAGAGAGAGAGAGAGAGAGAGAGAGATTCCAAGAAAAAAGAAAGAAAGAAAGAAAGAAAGAAAGATAGATAGATAGATAGAGAGATAGAGAGAGAGAGAGAGAGAGAGAGAGAGAGAGAGCATATATTTTTTGTGATATCATTATCCAAAAAGAAATAGAAAAAGTACAGTACGATATGACATGATTGCTTTATTTCTTTCAGAGCCGGTAGGAAGAAAGACATGGGTAACGACTCCCGTAAACCATTAGCATCGCAGGACGTCGGAGGTGGGGGGCGGAGTGGGGTGGTTAATCTCGTCTACTGCAGCCGTAGCAGCTGGAGGTGTATCTAATCTAGGACAAAAATAGCCGGACGGAACCCATCCCTCTACAGGCTGGTTTTGAATTAAGAGTTGTCCTTCTCCTAAACCGTGTGCTATACAAGGTAAAAGAACCCAGTTTGTCCTGCTATGTAATCCCATAATCGGAAGATTTGGATTTAATCCTTTTTCGAAAGCTATCAGAGTAAAGTGACGCGATCAGAATCTGAACTCAGCGCCGATTCCATTTAACGCGCCGACAACCGTTACATCATTTGCGCATATTAGACGCAATAGCCTTAGTATACGAGTTCCTTATCATCTCCAGTTGCCTTGATCTATCCACTATCCTTCTCCTCATCCTTTCCTCTATCACTCCTATCTGATTTTGCTCCAAATCTTCTGTAACCCCTTGCGTCCTAGTGGCTTCCCGCCTTGCTTGGGGTGAAAAGCTTAAAAAAAAAAAAACTTCAACGCTTTTAAAGTGTCTCAAGATGATGTCATATGAAATGACTATCAAGCAAATTGTAAAACTGACTATACTTCAAATTATACTATTTCTGGAATTAGTTTTCTCTTTAAAAAAAAAAAAAAAAAACTACCAGCTGGGATCTTTTCATTTATAACTTGCAAAAATGTATTTAAACCGAGCGCCCTTTTAAGAGGCAACCAACTATTTTTAGCAATTGCCTGTGTAAATAAAGACTTATGAGAAGAACACCAGGTGTGGTTTGGACTCCATCAGTTATTCATCACGTGTGTTCGGGTGTCAACGATGAAATATGGAGGTCTCTTTTACAGAGTTGGGGAGCAGATGAATGCTTATTACATTGACTTTTTTTGTTTATGTTTTTTGGCACATTTCAAAATAGAGATATCCAGATGTCAGCTTATAATAGATAAATGTTTAAGTAATTTCAATATGAAAGCTTCAACAATCAAAGTGTCATAACGGTGCAGCGACGAGGAATAATATTCACGTTAAACTCGAAAGGAAAATAAATCTATCTGAGTCTTTTCATATCTTTCTACCTCAGTTTGTTTATATATACCTCCATCTGTTATGATCTACCTCAATCTCTTCATTATCTATCTATCTATCTATCTATCTATCTATCTATCTATCTATCTATCTATCTATCTATCTATCACATTCTGCTCATTATCTATCTATCTATCTATCTATCTATCTATCTATCTATCTATCTGAGTCGTTCATATTTATCTATCTCATCTATCTCAATGTGTTTATATATACCTCCATCCATCTATCTATCTATCTATCTATCTATCTGAGTGTTCATACTTATCTACCTCAATGTGTTCATATATACCTCAATCTGTTAAGATCTGCCTCAATCTCTTCATTATCTATCTATCTATCTATCTATCTATCTATCTATTTGATGTATTGTAACTATTTACACTATTTACATTGTTCGGACTGCTCTCCTCGTCTATATTATCATATTAATGAGATTTTAGCCGTTGTACGCTCCGACCTTCTTCAGGTGATATACGCTGAAATTTCGAACAGAACCCCTTTTTTTAGGATTGTCATGTGCCATGCGTTTTCTGGATATCTCAGTCTCAGTTCCTTTTAGTAACTCAACTCTACAAGATTTTGTTCGCCTCTGCTGTGCCCAGGTATTGAACTCACAACTCTTCGGCTAAAGTCACTGGATTACTTTTACCAACACTTTTATCTACTGGGCCATGTGGCAAAAACATTTTGAAGAAAGCCGGAGCGTAGAACAGCCGAAAAGTCGTGAATATGACAATAAAGATGAAGACAACAGTCCGAAAAATGTAAATAGTGTATTCTTTCTTTCTTTCTTTCTTTCTTTCTTTCTTTCTTTCTTTCTTTCTTTCTTTCTTTCCCAGTCTTTCTATTTCCATTCCCAATAGGAGTAGATAGGTTCTTCTATCGCCCGGTTCACACTCCTCCCCAGGCTTTTGAGCAGAAGTAGAAGTTTATCGCTTGTCTACGGTTTAGGATTGGGTGTTCGGTCTACTTCAACTCTATACTTCTAACGCCTCCGACTGAACTCTGACATGCTATTCACTAATTAAATAATAGCCCTGACAAGTCTACGGTTAGCCATTATCTTTCCTGCTTAGCACCCCACAAGGGTGACACCACCTTGTAACCCTCTAGCTTGAGTGGATTTTGAGCCTTGTATTGAGTGAACATTAGTAAAAAAAAGTATGCCTCAAACAGTTCATATATATCTCTCTCTGCTCTATCTCTCTCTCTTTATATATATATATATATATATATATATATATATATATATATATATATATATATATATATATATATATTAAACCAGGGCTGACCAAGCTCTTTAGTGTTATAGAACACGGTTGGTCTAGGAGATGGAAAACTCTTACACGAAAAGCCTGAGGCATATTGTCTGCTTTGTCTGTGGCATTTATTTGCACCGACTGAGTGTAACAATAGTTCCGAAAAGTGGGGATGGTTCTGCACACGCCTTCACCACTTTAATCAAATCACTTGTGTGGGTTTTCTGGTGGTTTATCTTGATTCGTTCGTTCTTATTCACACAGTTTACTTGCAAGGTCCGCTGGCGAGAGAGTGAAGGCGACAGGATCAGGTAAAGGATATTACTGGAAGACTCTAGCTGGAGCTCTACACAGTGACAGACCGATGGGTGATGGCCGTTCTTTCTCAAACCCATGAGCAATGGTGATGCCCGTGTCCTCCATCGGTGATATAGCAGCCCGATTTAGGATTTCACTGCTTTCCCTATTATGGGGAGGTGGCGATAAAAGGAGTCCTAAACATTGCTTGCTCACGCAGAGACTTGGCAGCCCGCTGGAGCTGTCTGGTTATCCAATAAAGCAGTCGAATCAGCAAGAAAGATCAGAATAAATATAAGAAGAATTTCCATTTTGGATCCTGGAATGTTCGCACTTTCCAGGACAATGATTCTGCACCAGAGCGTAAAACAGCTCTTGTTTCTCTCGAGTTGAAGAAATATAACATCGACATAGCGGCCATTAGTGAAACACGTCTGGCTGGTAATTCTCAGCTTAGGGAAGAAAAAGGTGGGTACGCAGTTTTATAGGCTGGCAAGACTGAGAAAGAGCCACGCCAGTCTGGTGTTGGCTTTACCATCAAGTCAGACTTTTCTAGTTTACTACCTTCCTTACCTAAAGGTGTATCATATCGTATAATGGCATTAACCGTCAATCTGGAGTGCAACACCCGTATGACGATGGTTAGCTGCTACACGCCAACCTTAGGTAGTTCAGATCAAGATAAAAGATGATTTTTACAATCTCCTTCGGGGTGTCATCTCCAAAGTCCAACATAAGTATAAATTAGTCCTTACAGGTGACTTCAATGCTCATGTTGGCAATGATTATCATTATTGGAAGGGCGTTTTAGGTCACCATGGTATTGGTCATGTGAATTCTAATGGATTACGCCTTCTTATTATCCGCAAGGAATTTGACCTTAGTATCACTAATACTTTCTACCAGCAACCCAGCTGTCGTAAGACCACGTGGATGCATCCTTGTTCGAAAGACTGGCATCTGATCGACTATGTCATCACAAATGACGGGACATAAAAGAATTTAAGATAACGCTTTCATTCCCCACAACATGCTATCTGTCAGATCACGCTCTACATCGGAGTAAAGCTACACTGCATCTGCAAAAGCGAAGGATTATAAAATCTACAGT